TCTATTTTATGGCAAAGCATAAAAAGTAAAGCAGCCCAGCAATCGGTAGACAGGCTGTGAAATATGCTTTTGATTTCACCTGTGACTTGAATAACTCGGTTGTAAAATAAAAAGCCTTAGTAGGGACAAGTTCCAACCAAACAATCACTCCTTTCTGTCCACCTCTGCAAAACTCTACGGTGTTAAAGGACAAGGTGGGAGCCAAGACAGGCAGATGTCCCTATCCATACCAACCTCTATCCATATATCTTTTACAAAACATAAAAAAGATGAATCCAGGCTTTGTGTATTTAAAAACATATAAAGAAAGAGAGAGGGGAAAGGACAGGAGGGAGCATGGAACGGTAAAAGATGATGCCAAGAAGCCTAGTCTTTAATTTCGCTCTAAAATTCGAATGATCTTCTGTTGTTATAATAGATGAGGGTACAGTGCCCCAGAGCTATATACCAAAGGATGTATTATTACCCCTTTAGGTGAGGATCATCAGCGGTTTCTGGCAGAGAGTAAACACCTTCTACAAATAAAATAGGTTGCTAATGTGTAGTACCATTGTAAAATGTTTAAAGGTGACTTGTTTCTTCTCTGGTAGGTAGTGCCGATGGTGGAATTCAGTAATTAAGTGGTAACTTTCATATTTGCAAATTTGAGAATTAGGAGTTTCCCTTCTTGGCTGCACTAATCTGCTGTAACAGTAAGCTGCATGGATTTTGTTTATCAAAGTGTTTCCTTCCCACCACAAGTGCTCACCGAACCATAATCTATCAGGGCGTAGAATTCTAGATTCCCTATAGTAAAAAGAACTGCTGCTCCAAATGGTCACATATAACGAGTCGTGATCTAGGTTTAATTGAACCAGTCCTATAATCGCGGTTTTCAAGTCATTTTTATCAAGAAGACGCATTCTTGTTGTAATTTTCATAAAAAGAAGGGTATGGTTCCAATGGAAAAAGATTGTTTCTTTCCTGAAACTTATGTACGTATATTATCCTCTATTAATTATAGGATGGACAAGTGGACATTAGTGTGTTACACGTTCTCTTTTTTGTTCATTGTGTTTCAAGTATAATTTTGTATTTTTATAAATCTGGCTACTGCTTGTTGTCTACGATTATGCTCAGTTTTTAAGTGTGGGGAAAAAGAGAAAGTATATTATGCTGTTAACTATGGTGGACCAGAGGTGTGGTATCTTTCATGCAAGATCTATTTCTTCATACAGCGCATATACAAAGAAGTCTGCTTCAAGCAGCCAGCCTTGGATATTTTTGAGGTATACCAAGATGATAGCTGAATATAACAGTTAATAAATAAATAACAAAGAATATAATAAGTGATAAGGATTATCCTTAGGTGCCCCTGTATGCTACACTTTAATGGTTAGTCTTGTTGACTGGTCTAAGTTCATCATCAATATTCAAATAGTCAGGAATGATGCAACGTCTAAAAGAATCAGGCAACACGGTTATCAAGAGATGTTGTATGCAGCTTTGATACTTTCATATCCAGACAGAGGTCTGTAACTAGCTGGGCACACTTTGAAGTAGTGCGCGATTGAAGTACTGAATAAGGGTCCAAACAGACTTGAGCTTAACAATAGTGCCAATAGGCATGGCATAATTTTACCATGTATAGTTTGCACGCAATAGGAAACAATCATAATTATGATATTCAGAATAATTATACATTTAATTAACCAGAAAGAGTAGGGCTCAATATTTCTACCCACTAATCATTCCATTGGAGAGTAGAAAATCCACTCTTAGTGAGTGTGGCCCCAAGGCTTGCAGTTTAAGTAACTGTTGGCCTAGTCTAGGAGTAAAGTATTTGAAAGTTTGAGTTCTGAGGAAGGGTATATTTCGGTTTTGACATTGTTTATACATCCTAGGGTCTTTAACTTTTTATTACCCAAACAGATTATATTTAGATTGAAAAATCTGTCTCAGATTAACTGTGGAAAGGACTAAGTGTATGTCTGATCCAGGTCTCCAAAGCTGGACTTCCAGCTGAGGGTCCCAAGTTGGTTGGCTAGCCCTGGTCTAACCTCAACCTCTCCCTTGAATGGCTTTTCAGGTATTAGGACTGTCTGACATGTCCAATGTTAAGCATCTCAGTTTTAGCACCCTAAATTTAAAAAAAACGAAAAAAAAAAACCATGAGGTGATAGAATAAAACCTAGGATTTGAGTAGCCTTTCATTACAGACTATAATTGCCATTTGAAAAAACAAACAAAATAAAAGCATGTTGAAGGAACAAATCCTAGATAAAAGCTATGCTGGCAGTTAAAGGATAAGCTCTCTAGGCTGAAATCCCTACTAATGAAAAAGACAAAAAAAACAAGACACATGTATATTTTACTAACCTCAGTATTTTCCCAGCTGTCTGCAACTCCTGTCCCAAATAGTGGGGATCAAGTCCAATGGGAATAACAGGTGCGACAGACTTTTCTTCTGCTTGCTTTTTACATTTGCTGCTGGGTTCTCCAGAAACACTAAAGACATGAATATATAAACAAACAACATTCGCCAGGCCACACAAACAGAAATACAGTCTCACTCTGATAAGGGAAGGGTGGGATTTCCGGGTCAATGCCAGCACACAGACAGTGAGCTGCTAGAGGTTAAAACCCATTGATTAATTATATAAGTGGGACTGAGGAAGACACTGAATCCCAGTGCATTTCTGAGACATTGAAACCATGAAAAAAGTTTTTGCAGGTTTGTTTTACGTGTAATAAGATTTTTCCCCTAATCCCATTTTTCGGTCGGTTTTTCTCACATTTTTAGATTTTTCGGTCATTCTAGTCTTATGGTGAAAATGTAAGGACTATTTTACCTTATGGGCTTCATCTTACAGCTGCAATGTTAATTGACTCCCTGTGCTTCTCTCTCTCGGACCTGGCTATTTGAAAATTAATTGGCAATCAAGGTCAACCCAAGGTCATCTAACACTCAAGTTACATGTAGTACACTGCGAGGACTTAAATGAACACTCCAGACCCCCTAAAGTACTTTAGCTTGCTGAATGATGTGTGTGTGAAGAAGCGGTCTCATTTTGAAACAAAATGGTTAGCTCAGTGGAGTTAAACTCTAGAGGCAGCAATTGCCCAGACCACGTACCTTGCAAAGACTTTTCATTGAGCTGCATTGGGAAGTCTGCGATTGGACAGCCACAGAAAGTCTGGGCTGGGGAAGAAGGGGAGGTCTTGTAAAGGTTACTTACTTCATTGTAAATTCTATTTAATTTAAAATGTATTATCCCCTGAACTGTCGATAGCCTGCTAGACTCCACGGAAGCATTCTGTGTATGATTAAAGGATCACTATAGTGTCAGGAAAACAAAGCGGTTTTCCTGACAATATAGTGCCTTGAGGGTGCCCCCAACCTCAGGGTCCTCCTCCCATGGCGCTGAAGGCGTTAAAACATTTCCTCCCGATCTGATGTCAGCTCCCCCGTCCAACGTTACTGGAGCCGAACGCGCATTCAAAGTGTCCATAGGAAAGCATTTCTTAATGCTTTCCTATGGACGCTCTGCACAATGGAGGCGAAATTCCGGAAGACAGCCACTATAGGCTGGATTAACCCTAAATGTAAACATATGTTTACATCTGCAGGGTTAAAACCTGAGGGACCTGGCACCCAGACCACTTCATTGAACTGAAGTGGTCTGGGTGACTACAGTGTCCCTTTAAAGTTCACTTTAGAGAGCAGGCAATAAGAACTTTTAAAGTAAGTTACATCTAATTGAAAGTGAAACCATTTTTTTTTCATGCATGGTGTGGGAATCACAGCCAGGGGAGGGTGTGACTAGGGTTGCATGGACAGAAACAAAAGGGATTTAACTCATAAATTGCAGAGATTTGAGCAGTGAGATTGCAGTATCATGATCTATACACTAAAACTGCTTTCTTAAGCTAAAGTTGTTTTGGTGACTCTAGTGTCCCTTTAAAATATAAAAGATATAACTGCTTTCTGCAGAGTCTAAATACACAAGTCTATTCTTCCACAGAACGTTATTTTAAAGGGACACTATAGTCACCAAAACAACTTTAGCTTAATGAAGCAATTTTGGTGTATAGATTATGCCCCTGCAGTCTCACTGCTCAATTCTCTGCCATTAGTGTCCCTTTAAGAAATGTGCACAAAACAGAAATTGCCGTAGTTGGAGGGAGTCGAGTACAGCCAAGGTCAAGTCACTACCATTTATTAATAGCATATGTTATACTCAGGGGCGTACCTAGAGCATTTGGCACCCGGGGCGGGTCCTATTTTTGGCACCCCCTCTACTCCCAACTTTAAAATGTAAAAAACAACCACAATTAAAAAAAAAAAAAAAATTTATTTAGCACTAAGCAGTGTTTGTGCTTTTAAATGTAAGCATGTTTTGGTATGGAGTATGTTTGAGTGAATGTGGGATGTGTGTCTGTATGTGGTGTTGGCGTTTGAGTGCAGGCATGCATTTTTATGTAGTGTGGTTTTTGAAGGCAGTGGTGTGGTTATATATAATGGTGGAGTTTGTATGTAGTGTTGATGTTGAAATGCAGGGGTGTATTTGTGTGTAGTGTTGGTGAGATTCTGAGATGTATGCACATATACACATACACACACCGACACACATGCAGATACATAGACACAGTCACACACAGATACACAGACACACACGGAGACACAGTGGCGACTCTAGGAACAATATATAGGGGGTGGGCACATAAGATACTACAATCCAAACTGGGGGGGGGCACTAAAACTTTTCACTAGGGGATGGGGTAATGTGCTGCCATACGCCAGCATGCAGTGCACATTGGCATCAGTCAACAAATTTGCATATAATTCACATTAGCCACCCTGATTTTTTTGTTCGTGGGCTAGCTGACACCTCTTAATGTCGATCTTTGTTTATCAGATAACTCCCTTATATACACACACACTTAACTACAGAGATACACACACAGATACACGTAGTTAAGTGTGTGTGTGTGTATATATACTCACACACACACACACACAGATACACGTAGTTAAGAGTGTGTGTGTGTGTGTGTGTGTATATATATATACACACACACACACACACACACACTTAACTACAGAGATACACACACAATCACACACAAACACAGACATACACAATCACAGACCCACACAAATACAATTACAAACACACATAATTAGATATACACACACACAAACATCACATACATACACACATTTAATAATTAAGAGGTCCACCCAGCCTCCCTACCTTGCTCTGGGAGGGCTAGAGTGGATCCTCAGTCCCTAGTAATCAGTGGTTGCTGCTGGGATCTCTGTGCTCTTCATGCACACGTCCCTTGCACATCCTGTAATATGACGCCGATGCTTGGATGATGTTATGTGCCGACTCACTGCAGGGCGAAGACCGTCAGATACAGTCAGATGTACACAGTTATACGCATATACTGTCAAATACAGCCACATGCACACCGTACCAAACACACAGTCACTTGCACACTGTCAAACGCACAGCTGCAGGTAGACAGTAACACACAGACAGCTACAGGCAGACAGTCACACAGTCACACATACACAGACAGTTACACACACACAGCTACAGGCAGATAGTCACACATACACACACACACAATTACAGGCAGACTGTAACAGTTACACGCAGCACACAGTCACACACACTCAGTGACATGCAGACAGTCACACACAGTCACAGGCAGGCAGTCATACACAGTCCCAGGTAGACAATCACAGGCAGACATTCATACATACAGGCACAGGCAGACAGTCACACACACAGTCACCAAAAGTCAGTCTCATGCACAGTCACAGGAAGACAGACACACTCAGTCCCAGGTAAACTGTCACAGGCATAGACAGACACAGTCAGACAGTCACAGATGCAGTCCCAGAGAATCATTCAAAGCATCCAAGCGTCACAGGCAGACATTCACACACAGTCACAGACATTTACAGGGAGACAGTCATAGACAAAGTCACAGGCAAACAGTCACAGACACAGTCAGAGAGTCACAGGCAGACATTCACACACACAGTCACAGATAGGCACAGGCAGACATTCACACACAGTCACAGTCACAGGCAGACATTGACACACACAGTCACAGGCAGACATTCACACACAGTGTCACAGATAGTCACAGGCAGACATTCACACACACAGTCAGACAGTCACAGTCAGACATTTACACACACAGTCACAGATATTCACAGGCAGACATTCACACACACAGTCACAGGCAGACATTCACACACACAGTCACAGGCAGACATTCACACACACAGTCACAGGCAGACATTCACACACACAGTCACAGGCAGACATTCACACACACACAGGCAGACAGTCACAAGCAGTCTCACACACACACACACTCTCTCTCTCTCTCTCTCTCTCTCTTACTTACTGGTGGAGGATTGGAGTTAGTGAGTCCCTGGTGTGTTGGAGTTGGAGAAGCAGGGACTCCTTCCTGCTTCCCCTCAGTGTGCTGCAGTGAAAGGCAGCAAATGGAGGCTGGCTGTAGCTCCGCCCCCACATCCGGTTTGGCTCCGCCTCCACAGCCAAGTTGGCTCTGCCCCCAATTCTCTGTGCAGTACTTCTGTACTGCTGAATTCCCAGCCCCTGCGTGTGTGAGCGGTGTGGCTCCCGGCGCCCTGTGCAGCCACACAGCTCACAGAGTCACAAGCCTGGCCAGCCCTGGAGGCACCCCCCCCTAACTGGTGGCACCCGGGGTGGACCGCCCTCCCCGCCTTTAGTACACCACTGATTATACTGTACCTTCTATTTGTCATACTTACCTGTTCCGGAGCTTCCTGATCCGGCGGCGGGTCTGACTCCGCATGCTGTGCGTGCCCGTCTACTAGGACGGATTCGTGCTGACGTCATAATGGCGCGACTCAAGGTGCCGAACCAATTGATTTGCACGAAATGATACTCCCGAATTCGACATTCGGACAAATTCGGGTGTTTAGGCACTCTACAGTGATGCAGACCAATGGTTCTTGTTAACCCAAGATGCGCTTTATAACATATTTGAATTTCTTGTTACCGACTTTGGCTTGTTTATCGTTTCTCCACTTTCTGTGTTCCTGACCTTGGCTTGTCTGTTTATGCTGTCCTCTCCTACGTTTGACAATGGCTTTCTTCCTGACTATACATTAAATCCGGCCATTCTAAGGCCCGATAATACGTTGTACCTCTCCTTTAGCAAATTAGGGTCTGTGTGTTTTGGGTTCTCCTACTTTAGCCGTGACACTATTACATTGTTTTTTTCTTTATTCTTTACATCTTCCTTGATGTACAAGGAACAAATTGTGCAAAAAACCCCACTAAATACTAGAACGTTTGAAAAGTTTTAAGCAACAATACTATCAATAAGTAAATAGTACCTGGAGGTAGATGGTGTTGCAGCAGCGCAAGCGGCATTCAGCTCATCAGTTCTTTTACGGGGTCGTGGGGCATGAGAAGGAGGTGCTTTCACCGGCATCTTCTTCACAGGTGGAGAAGACACATTAGGTTCTAGACCTGCAAGTCATTGTGGATTACCAAAGATTAGCAATGGGTACTTAATGAAGATGACTAAGTGACTAATGAATAACATGTATTGTGTTATAGTCTACACTGTAATAGGTTCTAAAAACAGACCAGAGGAACAGTGTGTAGCTGAACATCTCTTTGGGTCAACCTGGGTAAAATGGACTTTATAGTTTCTCTCCCCAGATTGGATTCATTTTCTGGCCTGCTCTTCCATAAGTAACATGTTGAATTCCCCCTCCCCCCTTGTAAACATTACTATTTAAAATACAGTGTATAATATCTTAATAACAAAATTAAATAAACAAACAATAAAAGCATCCTCCCCACCTCAAAAAAAGAGATTTAAAAACGAACCTTAAATTGATATTCCACATTCCTCATATAGAAGAATTGTGGGAATACTTGGCATGTGTGGCAAGCCAATCACCATACTGGCCTAATCAGGTGTGTCTCCTAGAGAAGCACTGAATTCAATTATTTTCTATGAGAAGCATTCAAAGCATCCAAGCGATGCAAAACATGAAGATCGATTATTGAAAGTCTTCAGAAGGAACTGCTTCCAGTAGCGGATTGTCAGCCACTAGAGAGATTCCGAAAGACAAATGTGAACATTGCGGTTTCTCACAAATGGCAATACTTACATTTGTCAGAATGCAGGGACAGGGTCATTGCACCAAAATCACTACATTAAAGGGAAACTGTCACTTCTCTAGAATTTACACCATTGAAAACAACATCGAAAGACACCTATGACTTGTGGGTATAGCAAATGACATTACAACCAAGTTCAAAAAGGCAAAGCCAAACATTGCAAATGAAGAGAAGAAACAGAAATACTGTTTAAGACTGTATGTTTTCTCTGTGCGGACTGCCCGGTGCAAAGAACAAAGCTTATAACAGTGACTGACACCTAGTTGCAGGAAAACAAGGTACAGATTATTTCATTTTCAATTTCACACCTCACAAATATATATGTATTATCAAATGTCGGGATAAGTTAAATGTAATCTTAACAGTGATAGTTTCCCTTTAAGATGCTGCTTTGAGCTCCCTTTAAAGTGATATTCCACTGCATTTACTTTGGTATTCAATAGCATATACATTATAGAATTGCCCACTATACATGAGAAATCCACAACACATATTATATATAAAAAGGTCCCAATAATGATTATCCTTGATTCCTAACCAATTATGATCCGCACGCTTTAATACCTATTGCAGATATAATACAATAATATACTATGCCTTACTTTTATGCTGCATGATAAACATGGCATGACGTAATTTCAGTAATAAATACATTGATCATTTTGAATATATACATTTCACCAGCAGATCAGATTTTAGAATCCTGATGGTGATGACATTCACACAATTATTTCCTATAATAAACACATGAAGTTCGTGACCCCTAATCACGGGCAGTGCCAGGACATACCTCAGTCTTCACAAGATTAGTGGGAGTTATACTCCTGAGCAGTAGCTGTTGGCATTTTAAAGCCAGCAGCTAAAATAGCCGACGTATTTGCAAATATGTCCCAGTGCAGTACCGTAAATTTCTCCTCTTAACATCTACACTACCCTATCGCTAACCATTTACTCCTACACTACCCTAACAATTACATTAGCCCCAAGCTAAAAATAAAACACAATATATAAAATAAGATATATAATGGAGAAGCAAGTATTATAGGAAAATAAGGCCAGCTATGGGTTCTAGAGAGACATTTATAAAGCACTTGACCCTTGATCTCATGTTTTGTGTGTTTTTTGTTTTTTTTATAACGTCCCTCAATGGCAAAGAATTCACATAATATATGGTACATCGTTATAGATCATATAGCATATGCTACACATATAATATATATATATATAAAAAAAATAAAGAACGTGTGAACATTTTGGAAGCTCTGCTGTAACGTTACATTTTCACGTTAATGCTCTTGTTACTAGGGACAGACTTTGCTAGTCAAAATATTGTTGAATTTTCATATAAACTGTGACTTTATTAGATCACTAACCCGGTGTGCAAAATATACATTTTAAATTTACCCACTATCAGAAAATAGGGAGAGAGCACGATAAAAAGCAATTACCTGTCCTTGAAAATCAAATGGCAGCATACAAACACCAATTTAAAATGCCAATAATCTGTATTAATGGCATTTTATCAGAACATGAACAATTGTAATGTTTGGGTGAAAGGAAGAATTATTAATACAGCATTTAGTAGATTCCTTTCGGAGATTATTTTTAATGTTTAAAACTAATCATAATATGGTCAAAAAGCTTTTTTTTATGTCTTAAATGACCAAATGGCACCTATTTGCTCAGAGCAATAAAATGCAGAATGTTGAGGGAATCAATCGATAGCGGGAAATAGAGAGGCAGGGCTCTTGGCTTCCAGATAGGCCACTGAATGCTGACTTTATTGATTTTAGTCAGTTCAGCTGGCCTGGTAATTAAAATGTAAATTTGAGAAAGAGATTATGTCCTGACAGAAATGGTGGGATTAGAACAGGAGATAAAAGCCCCTCAGTGAAAATTCACTGAAAG